ATATATACATGCACAATTATCACACACAAAAATATTAACACTATCAAATATAATTAGTGGTCAAGCTTCCCTTTGTCTAATAAATATGGTATGTGTATGTGGTGCTGGGTGCTGAGCCTCCTGGAGCCTCGGGTGTGGCAGGGAAGCGCAGCATCGCTGAGTTGTACTCTGGCCCCAGCATGATTTGAGATCCATCCATGCACACACACACACTTTAAAAAGGGATGTAAATAGAGACTACGCTACAGTTGGTAAGTCTCTCAGTTAACTCTGTTTTGTTTTATTTTGGTGGTACTAGAAGTTGAATCATTGTCTTTGCACTGAACTTCACCCTCACCCCTTTTGGATTGATTTATTATGAGCAGAGATGTCACTGCATTGCCGGGGGGTGGGCTCCAACTGGTGGCCCTCCTGCCTCAGCTTCCCACGTGTATGGGCTACAGGGGTGCACTCTTGGCTCTGCTGTTTTCTATAATTTTACATTAACCTGGATCATCTTGTATGTTGTGTATACACTTGAGTTTTGCTGGCTCCTTCTCTGGCTTTGTTAAACACATTTCTCTACCCTCTCTTTTACTGGTAAATGGACAGTAGCCTCTAGATATTTGCCTCTATTTACAAAGTAGTCACTCAGAGATGGCTGTGGGATGTGTTTGGATTTCTCACTTCAGATCTTTTCTTTTTGCAGAGATCTGCAGCGGATAACCCTGCCTAGCATCAACCGGCTCCGGCACTTCACCAATGACACCATCCTGGACGTCTTCTTCTACAACAGTCCCACCTTCTGCCAGACCATTGTGGACACAGTGGCTTCAGAGATGAACCGGCTCTATACACTCTTTCTGCAGAGAAACCCCAATTTCAAAGGCGGTGTATCCATTGCTGGTCATAGTTTAGGTAACAGATGAATTTTGTGTAACCAAAGAGGATGGTTGTATTTGAAGGTCGTGTGTGTGTGTGTGTGTGTGTGTGTGTGTGTGTGTGAGCCCACCCTGGGGGCTGAGCTGGCTTGGCATGTAGTGCCAGGGATTAAACCTTGGTCCCTTTACACTTGGCCTAAGCTTACCTAAGCAGACACTTTAGACCGCTGAGCTATCTTGCTGCCAGCCCGATACTTCGTTTTGAAACCAGTGTCTTTCTTATCAGTGTCAGGTTCCAGGCAGTCTGTGACTGTGATAGAAGGGAAGGCGTGGGAGGAAGGGGGTAGCAAGTTGGGAAGATTCCCTGCTTCATAGATTTGCTTATGTGTATTGTTGGCTTATGACTTTTTCTGTAAAAGATAGTGCTAATACTTAAAAATTATCCCTTATTTTCTTCTATTTTTACCTATAGGTTCGCTTATATTGTTTGATATCCTAACAAATCAGAAAGATTCTTTGGGGGATATTAACAGTGAAAAGGTAACTTAGATATTCAGATAAGTTCTGTGGTAGTATTCCATAGTAAAATCATTAAAAAAATAAAATCATTTAGATTTTTAGACATTTTTGTTTTTAGCTGAGTTTAGTCTCATACAATGGTGTTAAATCTATGTTCAATAGGCTAGTAATTATCTGTCATTATTGAGTGATAAAACCTTCTACAAATAACTGCTGTTTTCTAAAATAACCATAGATACCTTTATTTTCCTTTATAAATATGCACTAATACCAGGCATGGTGGTGCATACCTGTAATCCCAGTACTTGGGAGGCTGAGGCAAAAGAATTACCAGGACTTTGAGGCCATCCTGGTCCACATAGTAAGTTCAGATCAAGCCTGAACTGCAATGTCTCAAAAAACATTCTATTAACAGAATTGTGTAATCATTGAGTTAATTGGAGTTTGTCTATAAGTCAATGAAGAATGAAATGGATGCAAATTAATGTGATTTATGGAAATTCTGTTTGAAAGCAAAAAGAGGACTTGATGTTTAAACATCTTTTAGTAATTGAAACAAAGTTCTATGAATATGCATTATAGAGAGTATTGATTTACTGCTTGGCATTTGCTGTCTTGGATTTTCTGAGTTCTTCCAGAGGTGATTTATCTTAGGCTGTTATTTTTTAGGCTGTTTCTGTAAAACTCAGTAACCACTAATAATGCTGGAGAATATTTGCACACTTATTCATTCATTCATTTAAAAATATACTTTTAACTGAAGTTACAAAAGCTTGGAAATCAGTCTTCATTTATATTTTGTGTAAGTTCCAAAAACAGTATTAATAAAGAAAACTAAATGAATTTTGAGAATGTGAGCTTTATGACATCATTTTTAGGATTTGCTAAATATTGTCGTGGATCATGAAGACATGGCCACCCTGGAGGAAGAGTTGAAGAAACTTCAGCTCTCTGAATTCATTAATATCTTTGAGAAGGAGAAAGTAGATAAGGAAGCTCTGGTAAAAATAATCCTTTAAATCTTTATGCCAAACCTTGTTCAGAATTTTTATTTGTCACCATGTTTATGAAGAGTTTGCCCTTTAAAAGCTTTTTAGTTGTGTAAGTACTTTGTTATCAGTAATGCTCATTAGCTTTGTGTGTTTGCTTTTTATCATATAAAGTGATCTGTATGGAAGTCCAGAGTTCAAGTGAATGAACCTGTGTGGTGGCACATGCCTGTAACCTCAGTACTATGTGATGCTGAGGCAGAAAGATTGCAACTTCCAGACTAGTCTGGACAACTTGACAATTTAATGAGACCCAACCTACTGTTTGTAGTGTAGTTTTAAATAGTTACACACATGAGAAGTTAGACTTATGATGACTAGTAAGGAAAAGTCACAGTGGTCTAAAGATTTCTAAGAGGAAGAAGTAAACATGTCTTGAGTGGCTAAAGGACCCTTCCCTAGTATGGTGATCAGCATTAAATTGGGGTCTCTTGTTGGTCATTTGTTTGCAGTTCTCTGTTTGCTATGTCTTCATGCTATATATCCTTCAGTAAATCATACCCTTCTCAGAAGTGTGATAGCTAAGTAAATGTGGAAATCATGGGGTTTTTTTTGTTTGTTTGTTTTTTTACATCAAACCATTAAGTACCCAGCTTCTCAGGTTGTTTTATTCTGTTTGAGGCAGTGTCTACTATGTAGCCCAGGCTGACCTTGAACTGCAGTGATCCTCCTGCCTCAGCCTTTCAAGTGCTGGGATTACAGTCATGTGCCACCACGGTCAGCATTTTTTGTTTTTTTTTCATTTATGTTTTTGGTACAGGGTCTCACTACTCAGCTTAGATTCATAGTGATCCTCCCATTTTCAACCTCCCCAAAGCTGGGATTACAGGAATGTGCCATCACACCTGGACTCATTCGCCAGCTCAGTGTGCTTCAGGGGTAGGGCCAGTGCAGCATGCAGGACTGGGGATCAAACCCTGGTCCCTTGGCTTGCAAAAGCAGGCATTTAGTCTGCTGAGCTATCTCACTGGTCCTCAGCATTTTTTTTTTTTTTTTTTCACAATAACAGTGTTGTCTGTACTTCTGTGACAATGATAGTCTAGATTCTTCTTTAGGTTGTTTCACAAATAAAACAGCCTTTTTTTCTTTAGGTTGTTAGTGGTATATCATTAGGCGCCACAGAGAGTTTATGCCTCTTCTTCTCAGAAAGTAGGACATTTATTTAAAGTCAACAAATAGATTTTATTTTGTCTAGAAATAAAAAATATTTGGTTTTCTATTCCTAGGCTTTATGCACAGACAAAGATCTTCAGGAAATGGGAATTCCCTTAGGACCAAGAAAGAAGATACTGAACTATTTCAAGAGCAGAAGAGATTTACAGGTATGTGCCTAGTGTGGCTGACAGGTTTCCAACCATATTGAACTCTGCTAAGGTCATCACAGCAATGATCCAATATGGTGTTGGCTCCAAAATGACAAGGTGTCCCTCCAAGACTAACTTCCCTATTCTAGTCCCAAAATAAACTTCCTGTTTCCTTTTCTGCTCGTGAGTACCCACAACCCTCCAATCCTCTGACAGGATGCTTCACCTGCCCATGTAAACTCTATCCCTAGTCCATCCCAATAAAGACCCATTCCCCAGTTTCCTCCTCCTCGGGTCCATGCAAGCTCCAGCAGCCTTCCTGCACTGGCAATAAAGGCTTTCTGTTTACTTTTGTCAGTATGCCAAAAACCTTACAGTGGCTTGTTGGACCAAGTAGTTCTTTAAATCTGTGATGTACTTTATAAGCTGTTATTCTGGCCAGCTCAGCAGTGTCTGTTTTCTTGGGTTTTAAAAAATTTTTTATTTATTTGTTGCAGGGTCTTACTACATAGTTAGACTCATAGTGATCCTCCTGTCTCAACCTCCCCAGCGCTGGGATTACAGGCGTGTGCTACCATGCCCAGTTTCAGTAGCCTGCATGGAGTGCCCTGGATTCTGGGGCTTGTACAGCATGTGATACTGGGGATCAAACCAGTCCTTGCACTGGCCGGGGCAGGTGCTTAGACTGCTGAGCCATCTCCCCAACCCAGAAGCCTCTGTTTTTGTTTACAGTGGTCCCTCACTTATCATGGAGGTTATGTTCCAGACATCCCTGAAATAAGTGAAAATCAGCAAAGTAGAGACCTTATATTTATTTTAGAATATATATAT